GGACATCAGCGCGGAGGTCGCCCAGGCCAGGCTTGCGCCGGGGTCGACCCCTGCGCCCGGCAAGGCGGAGGCAGCCTCGGCGGTCGCCTCCCGCCGGCAGATCCTGCAGGGAGCTCGGGGCTCCATCGCCGCGGGCCAGGGCCGCAACGTGGTGGGCGGCTCCAACCTGGACTCCCTTGCGGACCACATCAACAGGTTGGGCGCTGCTGTCCCCGCGCAGGGGGCCGCTTTTCGCGCCGCAGGCGGGTGGCCCGCAAGCGCCAGCGCCCCGCCGCCGGCGGCCCCAGCTTCAGGCGCCGCTGCGCCCGCGCACGCCGGCACCACGCCAGCTGCCGCGGCCCCCGCAGCCGCCGCAGGCGTGGCCGCCATCAACAGCTTCCAGTGCGTGCCCCCCACAGCGGAGGCGACAGCATGGAAGCATGGCTAACCATCGAGGACGACGTGGAGCCAGGCGCAGCACCACAGGCGTGGTCACCTTCAATGGGTCGTGCTGGACAACGTGCCAGCAGTTTTTGCTTGAAGGTGCAGGGGGCGCTGTTGTGGTTACCTGCCAGGAACTACGCCTTGATGGCGAACGTCCAGATCACGCGCGAACCTGGACACAGCGGCATGGATGGGAGCCATTCGTCAGCCCGTGCCGCAGGCTTGCATCATCGTCGCCGAGCGCAGGAGTTGGGATCTTCGTCGCGCCGCATGTGGAGACTACTTTGCTGAGTCCCGCGGGGGGAGCCATTGATGGTTTTGAAATTCTACGTTCTTGGGTGTGGCTGTACATGCTCATGTAGGTCCGACGGGCGGCATCATTGTGGGCTGTGCCTACTTGGAGCCTGTCGGTGCCAACGACTACCTCACGACGAACTACCAGAAGCTGATGCGCATCGCTGAGGCCCTACGCTACTTCTCGGCCCGTACACCTTCGCGGCCGACTGGAGTGCCGAGCCGCGCCTTCTCGAGGACCTCGGCGTCATGCAGGTGCTGCCCGCCATCGCGGTTGCGCCTCCCACTGGCGCGCGCAGGGCTGCTACCACAGGCAACCTCAGCACCATCGACTACTGGTTTACCTCGCCTGACTTCGCGAAGGCGTGCTTGGCGCTTCGTTTTTGGGATGATTAGACGCCCCGACCGCACTATCCAGTGCGTCTTGATCTTTGCGGCTCGACCTCGGGTTCACCTTCAGCTTCACCTTCGTGCCCCAAAGCCGTTCCCACGGCAGCCGCCGCGCTTCGCTGGCGCCAGCCCGCTGCCAGGTCCACCGGCACAGAAATGCTACATCGAGGTCGTTCAAGGGGATGCACGTCGCGGGCCACCAGCAGATGCACAAGATGCTCAGTAGCGCCTGGACACCCTGCACTCCACTTTCACGTCGTTCGTGGAGCAGGACCTCCGCCACATCTACCAGTTGCAGGGCACCGAGCGCTACTTCGGACAGGGCCGCGCGCCCCACATACGTCTGGCGGCCAGTCGGCGGCCCCCCTCTTCGACCAGGTCGACCTGCTGCTGGTGCGGAGGCTCGCTACATGCGTACATCCATCACGCACCAGTTCGATCCTGCGGCTCGCTGTCTCAGGTTGACGCGTGCTCTTCGTCCTGGACACCTGCAGGACATCCACTCCCGGGAGGGCGCCTCCCTGTTCGAGGTGGCCTGGCGTCTCATCCACTACGCGGTCATGCAGGACTCCCACGTCTGCATCACCTTGCTCACCGCCTACGCGGCCACGGTCGAGGCGCGCGCTGAGAAGTTGGAGCTCCAGGCGGCTCGGAGGCGCACGGAGCAGTTTCGTAAGTGGGCGCAGGACGCCATGGTCCAGGGCGCTTCGCCCATCTTCGGCATGACGAAGCTGAAGGGCTGGGCGCACAACGAAGTGGACAGGTTCGGCAGTCGGACGGCCTTGCGCCAGGCCGTGGCCGACAGGCAGATGGACTTCTGGAATGACAGCTGGAAGGGGGACGTGATCTCGCCGAAGCCCGACAAGGACATTGTCGTGACGGACTTCGGCGACATCACCGCCCTGCAGGACGGTGACATCATCAACGAGCACACCATCGAGCAGTTGGACGACATAGAAGGGAGATCTCTGAGCTCCGTGGCAGCATGCCAAAGGAGGCCCTGCCAGTCCCGACCATCGGCGAGATCAGGGCTGCCTCCAGGACCTTCGCCTGGAAGGCTGGGCTTGGTGCCGATGCCATGCCGCCCAGAGCTTTCTCTCTTATGACCGACGACGCGCTGGCCATGTTGCTCTACACCACCTGGGCGGCGGAGGCATGGGGCGCAGGGCGGCTTCCGCCCCATCGCCCGACTCCCCTTCGGCCTACAGGCTTCTACACCAAAGTGCGCATTGGCCACGTGCGTAAGTGGAGTGCGCAGCATGACCGCACCGACTTCGCCCTTGGCACAGGTCGCTCGACCATCGACGTGGGCGCGCGCACCATGGTCTAAGCCGAGGCTGCAGACACCACGGAGGGGGACGCGGTTGTCACCACACTGGTCGACATCAGCAAGTGCTTCGACAGGGCCCAGTGGATCAAGGTTATCTTGGCGGCTCGCCGCTGCGCTTTCCCTGCGGCAGTCCTCAAGGCGGTGCTAGCCATGTGCATGGCTCCCAGGAAGATCAGATGGGGTGTGACATGTTCCTATGCTGTGCGCACTATGGCGGGTGCGCTTCCTGGATGCACGGTGGCGATGTATCTCCTCCAGTTGACCACGATGATGCCCTTCGACGTCTTCGCTGCCTCCCTGCACGGTGGTATCCACTACGCCCCTCGACGCGCACGCGGGTGTCATCGCGCTCCAGCTCATGGCGCTTGTCTCCGAGATGCTCGAACAGGCGGTGGGTGTCATCGAGAGGCTGGTCAAGGTGCTCCAGGCGCTGGAGCTCCCGTTTGCCAGGGGCAAGGCCAAGATCTAGAGTTCCTCGCTGTGGCTAGCTGAGCAAGTGGCACGTCTACTCCACGACTTCGGCTTCGAGGCGGCGCGGCAGCTCACCGCCTTGGGACTTGAATTTCGCGCGGGCGCTCGCCTCGCCTACTCTGCGATCCACAAGAGGGTGCGCAAGGTCAAGGAGCGCCTGCCCAGGCTTCGGAAGCTCTGAGGACTGAAACGGATCGCGAAACGAGTGGCACGGCCCGCCCAGGCGCCTGGCATAGTCTACGGCCTCCACGTCGTGGGAGCGCCTCCGTCGACGCTGGCCACGATGACGAACGTGGCCCGCACGGGCTGGTGCAAAACCCAAAGGGCGTCGTCGGCATGGTTGGCCTCGCTACTGGAGGAGGCACCGCGCCAGATGCCCGAGAGCCCGGCCATGACGGAGCCGATCTACACGTGGGCGCAGATGGTCTACGCTCGCCAGGTGCCGCTGCGCGTCCCTGAGAAGGCTTGGAAGGTCCAGGCCCAGAACATGGACCGCACTACCACATGGGGGGCAGGTGACAGGCCCCGCTGGAGCTGTTCAGCTACTTCTACGTCGACTTGGCTGGAGGGCCCACTCGGCGACTTCCTGGACTACGGGGGATGGAATGCAAGTCGACTTGTCAGACATGTCGCCGAGCTGGGTGCGCGTCGTGGCAAGGCGCAGCTATCGTAACATGAAGTGGGAGGACTTGTCCAGTCGCCGAGAACATGCACCTGAGCTCCCACCAGCACATCGTGATCCGCGAGGTTCCTGGATAGAACCGATAGCTGCCATGCTGCAGGCTCAACCCGATGCTGCCCACTGGAACTTGAGCATGCGTGCGAGGGGAGCGCTTCGATCCGCAGTCATATGGGGCTCAGTGGACACAACAGCGCCTATACACCATGGGCTACGCGATGGGCCCCGGGTGCGTCTACTGCCAGGACTGCTGCGGACATCTTCATCATCGGCGTTGGTCCTGCCCCAGCCTCGCCGACATGAGGACGGAGGCGGTGCATGCGGCCATGATGTGGCGGCGAGCCCTCGCTGTCCCACCCAACGACCTTCTACGCTAGGGGCCTCCTGGCCCGTTCTGCACGACCTGGGCTGCCTCCACCAGTCGACGCGGAGTCCTGGTACTACTGCATGGGGGGACAGGACATGATCATCACGGGCGAGGACTTCGCCGACGGATCGGCCAGACGTCCGCTGCATTGGCCAGAGGCGAATCCAGCTGGCTGGGGCGTCGCGGTGATGTCTGGCAAGCGCTTGCTGGGCATGGCATGCTGACCGCTGCCAGGCCCTCAGCAGACGGCGCTGCGGGGGGAGCTGTACGCGATCATTCAGGTGCTCAGGCATGGCCAGCTCCCGATGCACATCAAGACTGACTGCCAGGTCATCGTGGAAGGCCTTGAGCAAGGCAAGAGCCACGCCACGCATCAGAGAAAAGACAACGTGGACCTGTGGCACCAGCTGTGGCACGCTCTGGAGGGCCACGGCGGCATGAGCAGCGACCTCCGCATCAGCCGGGTCAAAGGCCACCAGACTTGGCTGGAGTCGGGAGAGTCGCCCGACAAGATGGGCAATGACTACGCCGACATGGCCGCGAAGAAAGGCTTGGGCATCCACGGAGTGGATGCCCAAGCCCTTCTTCGCGGCCGTGATGCTTCGACTGGGCGTTTGTGCGCTGGGGCCCACCCTCGTTCTGTGCTCGATTGCGCTTTCTCGTCTTTCCCAGCCGTTCCTGCCTGGCCTGTCTCGAACTCGGCGCGTCGTCCTATGGGATCGCGACTCCTCCTCCTCCGCCTCCTCGTCCTCCTCGCCCGCCTGGAGATCGAGGATCGGGAAGGAGGGAGGAGGATCGAGGATCGCGGGGGTTCGGAACACTGATCGGAAGGATCGAGGGGATCGAGGAGGATCGACGAGGATGTGTGAGGGAATCGAGGAGGATCGAGGATCGAGGGGATTCGGGGGTCCTCGGGATGGAGGGCCCGGGGGTCTTGTTTCCTGGAGGAGGCCGCGACCCTCTCAGCGGTGGCCTCCGGGGTCTTTGCCTGGAGCCCTCCTCCCCTTCCCCCCCCGCCTTGGCGCGCGAGAGAGCCTGCCGCACAGGACGAGCCGGACGGCCAAGGCCCGCAGGGATTTGGGGGGGCACGACGGCGGCGAGGGCCGAAGTGTGTGCGGAAAGAATTTGTGTTTGTTCAATGATTTGGCCCTGCGGGGCCGTCCCCGAACCCCCATCGAGTCATGAACAGATTATGACGCACACGTTTTCTCGATGTTCGGTGAGGGCCCTTACCGGGCCGCGGGACCGACTACAAACGATTCGGGATGAAAGGCCGGTCCCGAGGAAGAGGTCGAGACCGATAAAATCATGACGTCGGGAGCATGAGTCTTCAGAGCCCCATTCAAACATGAATCGGGGACGTACAAAAAACTACTCCCGGGGACGCGGTCGAGATTTTCTTTGGGGCGTGGGCTGAAAAATATGCTTGCGGGTGTCCAAATTCTCGTCGGCTCTTAATAATAACCATGGATAGAAGACATCGGAAGGGGGATGGGTCGATGGCGAATGGCCCGAATGGGCCGACGGCGACTGAGGCAGTGAAAGATTTGCGTTCTTCCTTGTGGTTTCGGACTTCGGGGGCCGTCTTCAGACCCCAACCATCAAATATGATTCAGGGCCGTAAGCAACGGCGTAATCTCCCGGGAGCGCGGTCGAGACCTCTGGTGCCGTGAGCTGAACAAAAACACATCGGCGGATTTCCGGGCTCTCGTTCTCGTCGGCTCCTCCGGAATAAGCATCGAATGAAGAAGTCGGAGGGGAAGGGGCCGCTGGCGAGTGGCCCTAATTGGCCGATGGCGACAGTGATCAGGAAAACAGGAGAATGGGTCGATGGAGACCAAGATCAAAGAAGGAAAGCAGCAGCGGAAACATGCACGTTCGGATGTCCGTGCCGATCTGTTGAGTCGGCGCCCAGGAGCTCATGGCGGCGCCTCCGGATCCGTCACGGGAGTTGTCTATCTGGGAGAGACGTCACTTGCGAACAGCGGCCGCTGATGGATCGATACAACATTCCCTGTTGGGCATCGTACCCGCATTTTCCGTGCCCATTTTGGACTTGCCAGGACGACGAGGACTCCGACGCCGAGGGTGCCGACCCCAGATCTCCGAAGATGTGATGTGCTCAATCATGGCGCTTTCCCTCGACTTCGGCCTCTGGGCCGGTTCTCGGGCCCAGAGGTCGACAAAAACACGTTCGTCCCGAACACCACCATCCCGGCTTCGCAACGGTACGTCGAGCGCCGTGGGCGTCCGCGCAATGAGTGGACGACCATGGTACAGAGAGGGTCATTTCGTGCCACTCCGAGTTCTGACCTTGTGCATGATCAGCGCATGTGGCAGCACAGCGTTGTACAGTCCTGTCAGCGTCCACTCGCCTCTGGCGTATGGCCTGTGTGTGTGTGCGTGGGCCGGCCCTCGGGCCCGGGGCTGGCAAGAGTAGGCCTGGGGCGGAGCCCTGCCCCTGGGGAAGGGGCTCGAGGACCGCTCGGGGGCCGCGCAACCGGAGCAGTCACACGGCCGGTTGTCCGGGGCGGCGGCGGCGAAGGCGACGACGAAGCCGACGGCTCTGGCGGGGACCCTGGCGACGGCGGCGGCGGCGGCGCAGCTGGCGGCCTCATCGCCGTCGGCCGCGGGGGCGCGGCGTGGGGGCGTGGGCTCGTGGCTGACGTCCGCGGCTGGCAGCGGAGCCCAGACCTCCAGCGCCAGGCCGAGGCGTTCTGTGCGTCGGTCCCTGGCGGTTCTGCAGCCTCGGGATGCGCTTCACAAGTTGGCCCTGGGGGTGCCCGCGTCGTGGCCGTCGGAGACCCCGTGCGCACCGGGGTTCTCCTCGAATCCGGCTCCTGGGGGCCCTCGTCGGGCTCCTCGGGCCGCAGCGGCTCGAGATGGAAGTGGCGGCCCGGGGGTCGAGAGGTTCGGGGCTTCTGTGGTCCGCATAGTCAAAAGAGCAAGGCATCGGATGCCTGGGTAAGAATAACCCTTCGACTGCGTCGCCTTGGCACGCGGCCTTCGGGTGGCGCGCCGCATGATGGTTACAGACCTACGCGCAGGTCGGTTGAGCCCCACCAGTGGCCCAGAGCTGGCCAACATCGAACGGTCCGTGCTATCAGAAGGTCGCTATCGGATTGCGAAGGCCTACCGGTGCCGCCGACCTTGAAGACGACGAAGATGAAAACGAGCGGGTGGGGGGGTAGGAGGCGGAGGAGGAGGAGGAGGAGGAGGAGGAGGAGGAGGAGGAGGAGGAGGAGGAGGAGTGGGGGGGGGGAAGAGGAAGGGTGGAGAAGGCGGATGAGGAAGGAGGAGGGGGGGGAAGGATGAGGAGGAGGAGCAGGAGAAGGAGAAGGAGGAGGAGGAGGAGGAGGAGGAGGAGGAGGAGGAGGAGGAGGAGGAGGAGGAGGAGGAGGAGTGGGGGGGCGGAAGAGGAAGGGTGGAGAAGGCGGAGGAGGAAGGAGGAGGGGGAGGAAGGATGAGGAGGAGGAGCAGGAGAAGGAGCATGAGCATGAGCATGACCATATGACTAAGTCAGTGAATCCTCCACATCGCTATACATTACTCTTGCGCCTGGTGGCTTTCTCAGCCTTGCTCAGGACCTTTGGCCACAAGCCTTGGGAGATCAGCCGCAGATACTCGGCCCTGTGCGGGGTGGGAGGCGTCACGCACACACGACCCAGGGCCAGGAGCTGCTGCGACCCGTAGCTGCCACAGCCGACACAATACCACAACTTCAAATCACCATGGAACTGCATTCGATGACTGGGGTGAACATAGCCACCCGCGATGTGTAACAACGCGCCCTGAGGTTTACGAAAGAACACGCCATTATAATTGATCGGGGAGAAACATGGGGACCTGAGCCATTCCGTTCGGGTCGCTTTCGACGCCGATCCTCCGCACCTGGTGCACCTGCACCCAGTGCCGTCCACAGTGTGGGACGAGGCAAGAAGGGCGAGAGAGGCAGCAGCAGGAGGCGGAGGACGGGGATGGATGGCAGGACCTTTTTCCTCCTCGGCACACCTTTCCTTATCCTCAGCTGCCATGGAGTCGAGAGTGGCTCGCAGAATACGCATCCTGACGAGCCGAGCTTTCCTCTCCTGTAGCAGCACTCTATTACGGACCGCCTCTGCCAAGCGGGCTTCATGAGCCGCTTGTCCAGCGATCTCGTCAACTATCAGGTTGCCTGCCACCATCCACCGAGGAGCCTTCCCTTCGACGATGTCTGTGGCAGACAGGTGTGAGTTGACAAAAAGGACTGTGATGGCGTCCTGGGGCCTCTTTCTCAACAGAATGCCCAGGCGCGCCCATAGGTCGGCGTCGTCGCCTGTGGGCGCCTCGAACTTGCGACAATAAAATCCTGAAACTACCGATTCGCAATCTGAAATGAAAACGATGGAGCCTGTGGTCATCCAGACTGCCAAGAGCAACGCACGCAACCCGCCTCGAGCAACAATCTGTCTGGGTCCCGTCAGCGGACCTCTGACAGTCGAGGCTAACTGCAGCTGGGGCTCTAGAGCATGCATGAACGCCACAGCGACACCTACACGTCTGAAAAGCGGGCTGGCCGTGTCTGGCCCCCCACTCGCATCTCCAAAGGCAAAAAGCGGCGCCTGCGTCGATCCTCCAGCGACACAGCCCTCGACCACAGCTTCCCCGAACAGCTCCTCGGTGCCGACCCACACCTCGGTATCACAAGGCGGCGGCACCTCTGTCCAGGGCGCTGGGATGAGGCCACGGAGCCAGAAGGCCTGATCGGCCTCTCCCTGTGCGAGGGCCTGTGGGATCAAATCGTCCGACTCAGTGTACGCAGCTTTCTCGACGTTGCTTTCGCATAACCATATCCGATGCATCATGTCTTCTGGTGCTGTCCGACAGCGCGGACACACGACATCACCCGTGTACCTGCTCAGCTCATTTTTCTTGCGTTGCCGCGGCCAGCATCCACCCACTGCACATGCCAGCATGACCTCCGCCAAGCGATGACCGTGCACTGGGACCGTTGCCAGCTGCTGCAGCAAGATCTGGTATGACACACAGTCGACGCCCTGGGTCAGGCCAGCCCCGCAGAAGTGCTGACTCGCCTTCTGCCACAGGCTGTGCTTCAGGGTCTGCTTGAAGTCCATGATGAAGCCCTGGTGCGAGCCCAATGCTGCAATGCCCGAGTACATGTCATCGTCGAACTTCCATGTGTCCCCTGCAGCAGGGTGGCTAGCAGGGAGATCCCATGATGTGGCCTGCTGCGGGTCCCAGCCTGCCTCCATCAGGTGCAGGACGGTGGCCGTGAGAGGGCCCCTCACATGGCGCACTCGCTGCGCGGCTGGCAGCTCCTGCATGTGCCTGTAGACGTTGTCCCACGCCTGTCGCACACCAGCTCGTAGCTCGGGTTGCTCTCTCCAGGTCCGCAGCCACAAGTCCAGCGTCTCGACTGGTAGCTTGATCGCTGGGTCGAGATCCCCAGCCCGCAGGGCCAGCAGCGTGGTCAGGCAGCGGCCCCGTGTGGGCGCCGCCAAAGCCTGCCCCAAACGCCGCCGAGCCTGCGTCACCCTGGCGCCGAAGGTGCCGTAGGCCTGGTGCCCGTACACCCCTGCCGCCTGCGCCCCCTGCTTCTCGAGCCTACCCGTTATCCGATACTTCTTCGACACGAACGCATACCGACGCACCTTGCCACTCATGGCCTTGTGCTTGGCGTCCCTCTTCACCCTCGTTTCGCGTGCCATCCTTTTGCCCCCGCCCAGGTCGACCCCCAAGTAGGTGGCTTGCTTGACGGGCTGCACAGAGTACCGTGCACGAGCCACTCGCTTGGCAACCCATTGAGCGTCCTGGAACGACGAGCAGATGATAACTGACTTGGTCGCGACCTTCAGCTGCTTGGCCCTCAGCTCCTCACAAGTATTGATGACACATGCCGCCAGTTCTTTACGCACAGCAGCTCGTGATCCCCGCACTGACTGGGACAGGTCGTCGATCCAGATGCGACGCCCCATGCTCGGATGGGCGACTGTGATGACCTCCAGCACGTAGTGGGTCATGGCCTTGGCGAAGCGCGTTCCAGCCCTGAGGCCCTGGACCACGCT